CTGAGGCAGGAGGATCAATGTGAGTTCAAGGCCAGCCTATACTACATTGTGAGAACCTGTCTCAGAAAAAAAAAAAGGGGAAAAAAGAAAAACTAGAAAAAGGAGGGTGGGGAACAGGGAGGAGGGAGGACAGACAGACAGGTAGAAATTGTGGATCTCCAAGTGTTAGGCATTGTGATGATTATCAAAGTCATGTAATCACAGAATCCCTGTTTTTCTAGACTGAATGTAGACTCCCAGAATGAGCTCCACAGGAGTGTGAGACACTGGCAGAATGAGCTCAGATTTGTTTTTTTTTTTTTTTAGGGAGTATTTTTGAGACAGTCTTGAACTCACTATGTAGCCCGGGTTGGCCCTAAACTCACAGTGATCCTCCTGCCTCAGTCTCCTGAGTGCTGGGATGACTGGCATGTGCCTAGCTGGAGCTGAGATTTGAAGCCAGCAGGCTTGGACTCCAGCCTACATTGCCTGCAAACTTGTTCTGGGTCCTCCTACCTCTGAGCCTGGTGTTCTTTCACATTCTGTAACAGGAGTGTTACGGCACCTGCCTCGCAGGGTTACTGGCCAGGGTTAAGTGAGATGCTCTGTAAATCGTAGAAGATTGTGGTAACTCGGATGTGTCCATGACTGCGTAAACTTCAGGCGTGGTGTTTCCCTTCTGACTCAGCTCTTGCTCTGTCTCTCCCTAGTGGCCTGTCATGGGCCAGCTTGTCTTTTCATCCAGGTTTCAGGAGATGGAAACATTTAAACCTCCAAAGGATTTTGACCTGAGGTTGCTTCATCTCCATAAGCCGCTGGAATCCACCTGGACCAAGACCAATGGCCAGTTCTTGTCTGATTCCCCAAAATCAAATAGCCCCTTCACCCCGCTCCAAAAGGAGCTCTTCTTAGTCATGAACTCCTACCGGGACCTGTTCTACCCGGAAAGGACTGCGCTGCGGCACGGGGAGGAGGTCCGCCATGTGTATTGCCTGCACGCGCTCAACCACGTGCTCAAGGCCAACGCCCAGGTGCTCAGCAACAACAGCAAGCGACGAGGCCAGAAGCCTGGGCTGTGCGATGATGATGGCTTCAGGGACCAGGGGCTGACGAGGCCCAAGGTAAGTGGCAGCAGGAGACCACCAGAGGGAGGAGGCTGCGGGAGCTGCCACTGTACTGCCTGGCACTTGGCAGGTACACGAGTGTGTGAATAATTGACCAGAATAATGAATGAACCCAAAGTGAGCATGTTAAACGGGCCAAGTAGAATCAGACAGTGCTGCCGACAGCTCAGTGGATGATTTCTTTTCTTTTCTTTTCTTTTTTGGTCTTTTTGAGACAGGGTCTCACTATGCAGTTCAGGCTGGCCTTGAGCTCACTTTGTAGCCCAGGCTGGTCTTGAACTCACAATGATCCCCCTGCCTCAGCCTCCCAAGTGTTGAGATTACAGGCGTGCATCACCATGTCCAGCTAAGTGGACAGTGGAGAAACTAAACAGTTGCTCAGGGTACTTGTGTTAAGGATTAACGCATGGTGTAGCTGAACAAATACTGCAGAGGTCTCCTCAGTGCTTAGAGCTCGGTACACTTTTTTTCCCCTTTTTATTGGTACATTTTGGATATACATAGCAATAACATTTACCATAAGGAATTTGTACCTTGTGACACATGTTTTCTTTTTTCCCATTTCCCTACCCTGCCTCCCACCCTTGTTCCCCTGCTTGTTTACAAAGGCTTTGTTTCCATTTTTCTTGTATTCTCTTTTTTCTTTGTTCCTTCCCCCGCTTCTTCCCCTTCTCATTTGAATATTTTCTTCCCATTTCCCAATATTTGTTATACAACTTGGTCCTCATTTACACTTTTGGTTTCTTACATTAGAGAAACAATACAGTGTTTAAACATGTGTCTGATTTATTTCACCTATGAGTATGCATAGGTGCATCTATTTAGCTAGGGAAGTCTCAAGTTTACCCTTTATGCAAGGGTAGTGCTCCATGGGTGGACTTTTTACCTAGTCCCTGTGTACCACGGGTGTGGACAGAATTCCAGCTTTGCAGCAGGCCCTGCTAAAAAGAAGCAGGGAAGGAATGGCAGAGATGGAACTCCAGTCAAAGGTTCTTTTCAGTAACCTGTGTAAATATGTGAACCTTGGCAAGAAAAATCCATCTGCCCTCTTAAAGTTACTGCTACTTCAAGTAGTGATCCCATGTATTTGTGCTTACAAGTCTAAATGTCAGTGGATTTGAGGTAGTAGAAAAGGAAATAAATGTCCTTTAATTGTTTATACATTTGTAGCTTGTTTCTTTTCCCTTTAGCTTGTGTCTTTTCATATTGAAGAAGCTTCATTTTTTAGGATTGTACAGTTTCATTATTGACATGGCTTAGAGATTTTTTAGTTATACCCCTTGTTTGCCAGCTGGAGAAACTGAAGCTCAGACACGAGTTAAGGTCACAGCTGGGATGGTAAGCCAGCCCCCGTAAGCATCTCTGTCCTGTACTGAGGTAAACCACTGTATTCCTTTGACCAGGCTGGTTTCTATTCTGGGAAACTACCTCTGCCTCAAACACAAGAATATTGAGGTTCTGTGTTTCATTTAGCATTGCATAGGAGACTAAGATTATATGTATTTTCTCCCTTCCTTCTTTCCTTCTTCCTTCCTTCCTTCCTTCCTTTCTTCCTTCCCTCCCTCCCTCCTCCCCTCCCTCTCTCCCTCCTTCTCTCTCTCTTTCTCTCTCTCTCTCCAGTCCTGTTTTTCCCATTGACTTCTGGTCTCATTTTGGTAATACTTTATAATCATTTCTGAATAGATTCTAGAATATGTACTAGAAAAGCAATAATGTTTTAATCCTTTTTCTTTAGTTTTTCTTTTTTTTTTTTTTTTCCTTTTTGAGACAGGGTCTCACTATGCAATTCAGGCTGGCCTTGAGCTCACTTTGTAGCCCAGGCTGGCCTCAAACTCCCAACGATCCTCCTGCCTCAGCCTCCCGAGTGCTGGGATTATAGGTGTGCGCCACCATACCCAGCAGTTTTTCTTTTTTTTTGGTGGCAAAGTTTATTTGAAAAAGTGAAGAGTAAGAGGGGAACTGGCTCTGCAGAGCGAGCTTGGGCCAAATAGAAGGAAAAAAGCAGGATAAAAGTACACCCTGCAGGACACAGGGCGGACTGTCATGAGGAAAGCCTCTTCAGTTTTTCTTTACGTCATTTATTTGGCATAAATTTATTGAGTGGGTCTTATGGATAAAAATCTGATACTGAGTTCTGTGGGAGATAAAGAAATGAGTAAAGACTCCTTGCCCTCAAAGACCTGCTTGATTAGCCTTGTATTTTGGCCTGCAGATGCAGCTGAGATGGGCGTTGCCCTGTGCTAAAGCTTCTGCTTGAGAAGCGACTCTCATGAGCCAGAGGGGCCAAAGTCCACAGGACCTGTTGCTTGTGATCGAGTATTGAGCTGGGCCCTATGCGAAAGGTCTGACATAGGCATGGTGCCTACCAGGGGCCACTCAGTGTAGGACTTCTGAGCCCTGCTTCCTCAGCAGGTGTGCCTGGGCTTGCCGTTTCTCCCCTGCCCTACCAAGGCTGCCATTGCCCCTGCACAGGTGCTGATAGTGGTGCCGTTCCGGGAAGCTGCTCTGCGGGTGGTGCAGCTCTTCATTAGCCTCCTGGAGGGGGACAGCAAGAAGAAAATCATTGTGAGCAACAAAAAGAGATTTCAGAGCGAGTATGGGTCAGATCCCGAGGAGAGACCACCCAACCTGAAGAGGCCTGAGGATTATGAAGCTGTGTTTGTGGGTAACATCGATGACCACTTCAGGATTGGTAATTCCTTCTTGTCAAAATTGGGGTGCTGTGGGATCCGTGGTGTAGCTGGAGCCTAGAACCCTGGAAATTGGCATTCACCAGAGGGCTGCTGACATTGCCACCTCTTTGCCAGGGGAGAACCTTTCCTAGGCTAGGGTTTGGGAGCCTCTGGGGCCAGGTGGAAAAAAGCGCTGCATGTTTCCAGGAAATGACTCCATTCAGCAGACTGCAGGAGGCGCTATGTGGACCTCTCAGGGAAGATGGGGATGACAAGGTGGAGCGGGTCCTGGGGAGGCCAAGACTGTTTAGAAAGGCAGACTTCTGCTCTATAGATGCTACCTCGGTCCACTTAAGCGCCCTCCTCGAGCTTTGCATGTTGTTTGCTAGTTGCTTTTTCAGCTCCCGCTGAGGCGGTTGTTTGCCTGGAAAGTTCATTCCTCATGTGCTTATTCAGAGGCACATCTTACCTGCAGGGTGCCAGCAGTGTTAAACTGGGAATATATAGGGAAAAGGTACTGTTCCTGTTGCCAGTGAAGTCCAGCTTAGCAGGGGAGGGAGTTCAGGGCTGCGTGTGCAGCAGGGCTTCTGGGTGCATTTAAAGCAAACCCAGTGGTCTGGGGTGGAGGCAGTGTGGTGAGGTCAGGGGTTGCTGCCTTTGTACCTTGTGGAAACCTCCGCAAGACTTAGCTAGTCATGGAGGGGTAGTTGGAGTGGAGGAAACTGTTTCAGATAGGAAAATGCTTGTGTAGAATCCTTTGGGGGCAAAGCCTGGGATGAGGTAGGATTCATTGACACAGGCTCTATATGACTTCAGGATATGTTTGGAACACATTCAGATATCCGCGAGCAGCAGGTGTGCTAGTCTGAAGCTCAACAAAAAGCTTTGGGCTGGAAATATGAATTTGTATAAAGGCAGTGTTAAAGCCACAGGTAGGAAGTAAATTTACCAAAGGCTTTATACGAGTGAGAGAATAGAGGGGCCTGCGGAAGGAGAGGTGTTTGGATCTGGAAGGATGTGCGGGGCTCAGTCAGGGAACCGGGCAGAAGAGGTGCTGAGGTCCTGGAGACTGAAGCAAGGAGCATTTCAGTGTCGATCATGCATTTGTGCAGTCCAGAAGTACAACCCTGTGAGTGAGGGTTGTTGGAAATTTGAGCAAGAGTCATTTCAGAGTGAGGATGGATCAGATCCTGAGGGAGACCAAGAGTTCTGAGAATGAGAGCTGCAGCGAAGGACTGAGAAGTGAGTGGGAAATTTGAAAGCAGTGACAGTTCTAGGGAGGCTGGATGACAGGAAGGAAAGGAGGAGAACGTGGGCACTAAAGGGGGTTGTTACACAACTGTAGCACAGTTCAGTGCTGCAGGGCAGAGAGATGTGAGGTGCCAGAGGGGCTGCTGTGAGAGGGTGGAAGACAGCCGTGAGCTGGTGCACGCTGTGTGTTCTGTGCAGGAGTGGCGATTCTTCAGAGGAGCATCCGGCTCTATGCCCCCTTCTACTCCTCGGACATCCTCCTTGCCTCCCCACTGGGCTTGAGGACCATCATCGGTGGGGAAGGAGAGAAGAAGAGAGATTTTGACTTTCTGTCTTCTATTGAGCTCCTCATCATCGATCAAGCTGACATTTACCTGATGCAGAACTGGGAGCATGTCCTGGTAATCCTGGTTATTCACATTTAGAGAAACAAGAAGTGCACTGGGCTTGTCTTAAAAGGTTATGTAAGTTCAAATTAAAATTCAGGTTAGAAACTGAAATATTCTACATTTTCCAATTTGAAAAATTCTTTTGTCTTTTCTTCAGCCCACAGATCAATCAATAAGTAAACTATGTAGAAATGTAAAAATTCTTTGCAGTTGTCTCAGATCTCCAGGAAAGGCTTCTTCCCCTTAAAGGCCTGGATGGATGGATGGATGGATGGATGGGGGTTGGGGGGTGAATACCCTCACAAGGAACATCTCTACCTCACTTCTTCATAGATTGTGCCCGTCAGTGGAGATAGAAAATCATTTCCTAAGGTTTTTTAATGTGGAATCTTTTTTTATGAGACAGCTTTATACACTTACTGTATTTTTTCCTTCTCTTACTCCTCTGCAGTTTTTTGGTTTTAGGGTTGAAAACTGCTTTAGAATGTCCTTATCAGGGCTTCTGTTTTTCTTTTTCAACTGGGAACTCACTTCTGCAACTGTAGCCCATCTAACTTGCAGGAATTTGGGAGCATGTAAAGGATAGTACATGCCTCTGAAGCAGGGAATAAGCTTTTAGTACCCCTGACGCTTTGATATATGCCGATTGATTGTAAATGGAAAAAGCATGTCAGTAGTTGTCATATTCTTTAATTTGAGGAAAAGTAGTTGTAGTGGCTGTGGCCTCTGGTGTTTTGAGAATGGGTGTCATAGTCATTCTCTTTGCTGATGAGCTATAACACCCGCCTCCCAGAGCTTCAAAAAGGAGAGATATATTTCGGTTCACAGTTGGCAGAGATTTCAGGGCGTAGTCAGCCGTCTCCAATTCAGGAAGGCCAAGGCACCCCCCAGTGGGGAAGCTGCTTACCTTGCGGTGGGTAGACAGGAAGCAGAGAGTGCAGGGAGGAGCTGTGGAGGAAGACACCCAGGCCACGCCCCAGGGACCCAGCTCAGCAGGAAGTCAGTTTACTGCCCTGTAATCCAGTTGCCTTCCAGACCCCTGAGACTGTGGAGGGCATTGTAGATTCAAATCACCACTAGGTCAGTGAAGCCACAGTAGCTCGTTTTCCATGTCATTATCCTTTTTGTACAAGTGTGGGGTTGTGGGGCCTGTAAAGTGACCAGAGTAGCATTTCAGAAGTTCCTTCGAAAGGAGTATTCCACTAGGCACCACTTTGATAGTTTTTAAAAGGTCTAGGAGGTGGCCAATTTCAGCTTATTTTGCTTACCCGGCAGGCCTCGGTTTTCTTGCTGTGGGTGGGGTATGTCCTCCATGGGGTCAGAAGAGATGCTCGGCTGGTGAAGTGCTCGGCACTGCCCAGCACAGACTGCTCAGTGCGCACTGATGGTGGCCTTCTCTTTGCTCAAAGCATTTGATGAACCACATGAACCTGCTGCCCCTGGACTCGCATGGAGTTGACTTTTCTCGAGTGCGGATGTGGAGCCTTAATAATTGGGCCAGGTACTATCGCCAGACGCTGCTGTTTGGGGCCCTGCAGGACGCCCAGATCAACTCAGTGTTCAACAAGTACTGCGTGAACCTGCAGGGCCAGGTGGGTGTCCTGGGTCCTCTGGCTCTTCACAAAGCAGACTGTCATGGTCTTGAGACAGATGATGGTGGCCGTGCTTGCCTCCTGACATTCTCACTGACCCCTGGCAGGTGGCCGTGCGGAATGTCCCCAGGACAGGCTCCATCAGTCACGTGCTGGTGCAGCTCCCACACGTCTTCCAGAGGATGGACTCAGAGAGCCTGGCCACAGTGATCGACGCCAGGTACCCAGCCTCCTGTTGAGCTCCTTGGGCCTTGTCAGGAGGTCTGACTTCGGCGTCAGACTTAGAACTGGACTCCTTGTGCGTGGATTGATGACCACTTAGCAGATTAGATGAGATCACTGGTGTGAGGGGAAGAAGCTGAGATCAGAGAGAAGTGGTGACTTGGCCTAGGTGTCCTAGTCTGTGCGTCAGTGCTCCTTCCCACTTGACTGTGGCATTTCAAATCACATTACACTGCTGTGTGCCACATGCGCTGTGTGCTGCATGTGTCACATGTCAGCAGCTTCGTTGTAAGCCCTCAGGGCAACAACTGTTTTTCTAATTCTGTATGTGTGTTTCCTCTTTCCTCTTGTGTTTAGTTAGCACAGTGGTGCCTAGCCCACAGGTGCAGCTCAGTGATTATTTTTTGACTGACACACTGATGATTGGTGTGGTGTTTACTTTCTAGAGTAATTCTCCCTGTATAATGGCGTTACATTGGGTAATGTTAGCACTTACTTTTTTAGGTCCAAATCAGGTTTTATACTCACCCAATCTTTCTGAGAGAAAGCAAGTCCCTAGCCCTGATGTGACCTCTCGACATGAGCTTGTGATTGACCTGGAGTCACAGTTGACTGTCGCGGCTCAACTCCAGGCTGTTTTTTCTTGTTCAACTCTGGACCATTAACCTTGCCCTTTGCCTTCCAAATCAGGTTTAACTTTTTTGTAAACAAGATTTTGCCTCAGTACCGGGATGCAGTCATGTCCCACACTCTCATCTATGTCCCCTCCTACTTCGACTTCGTGCGTCTGCGAAATTACTTCAAGAAGGAGGAACTGAACTTCACCCACATCTGCGAGTACACCCAGAAGTCTGCTGTCTCCAGAGCCAGGCACTTCTTCCTTCAAGGGGAGAAGCAGTTTCTGCTCCTCACAGAGCGCTTCCATTTCTACAAAAGGTACAGGAGTCCTGGTCTCAGCTGCTGTTGGAGGGGATGCAGCGCGGTCATGGCACAAGTCACCCTGGCTCCGCGACTGTCTCTGCCAGAGTTCTTTCAGCTCCTTGCCCGCCTATTCTCACATGATTGAGTTGCTGCTCAGATGTTCTCCCCTCACACAGGCCTTCCCCAGCTTCCCAACTCTTAGTTCCTTTCCACTGCTCTTGGTCTTTGCTCTGATTTATTAACTTCCTGTTATTGTCATTCCCTGCTGTAAGTGTTTTTGGGCAGCACAGATTGTTCTTGGTCTGTCTGTTGGCGGCTTCTAAAAACGAGGATTGCTGGAAGGTTGTACAGCAAGCATAACCTGGTGCACATCTGGAGTGTAGCTGTGGTTGTAAACCTCAAGCTCAACGTTACTGAGTTGAGTAGCTTGTGGCAGGGACAGCTTGAGTGAATACAGGCAGGGGAGGCCTTGTCACTAAAGGGGCTTCAGGGGCAGTGTGACCTGGGAGCTGGAAGCTGAGCACAGTGCCAGCGTGCAGAGGTGCACGAGGAGGGGTACACATGGTGACTTCTCCCTGGGTCCCGTGATGGCAGCAGGAGGCAACAAGAAAAGGGTAATGACAGAATAAGTTGACTGGCCTTTTTGTTATGTTTAATGTTCTAATTAGATAGTAAGACTAGCTTTCCTTTACTGCTTGGTGTTAGTTGTAGTCCTTTGTGTGCCTGGAGCTTAGATACTGTTTTGTGAACATTCTACTGACAAATAGAAAAACCTACTTAAACCCTAACACATACAGAGATGGAAACTATTCCATTACAGTAAGTCCTGACTTAGGAACAAGTTCCATGCCAGGAGAACATTCATAGGTTGGGTTTGTTCATAAGTCTGACAAAGTGAGTCTTACGTGTCTTTGACACAGATACGTGACATAAAGCATAAAAAAGCCCAATGCAAGGTCCATTTGTGTCTGCAACTCAAATGTTCGTAAGTCAGAGACTTACTCTACTTCTTTCTTCCTGGTTTCGCTGTAACATCCAGTGAACTTGAACTCTGATTTTACTGTTTTATTAACTGGAAGTCATACACGCTAATGAGGGGGGCATTTTCTCAAAGACTTCTGGGCAGCTCAACCGGAAGTCTCCCACCCTTGCGCACATTGGATGATGCACCTGTGGGCTACATGCCTTTTCATTTATGCTGACGTTGGGCTAGTGCTTCCAGATGTGTTCTCTTTACCAGGGTAGCCAGGGAGGACTCCAGCAGGCTCCTTGGGCATGGCAGAGCTGACGTGACCTGACCCCTTCAGATATTCTGCTGATTAGTTCATCTGAGTGGAGAGTTGAGAACTAATTAAATTTGTTTCCCAGCTCTGTTCTTGGCAGACAAGTCTGCTTGGCCAAAGAATATTAGTGAATGCCTGCTTGTTGGCATCATTATTTGTTTTGTTCTAGTAAGTTGTTTCCATTCATGTTGGGAAGTGTTTGGGGGAGGTTGTACTCACTAAGTCTTAAAAGCCCTTAGTTTTCTGTTAGCTCAACAAATAAAGCAAGCCCTTTACATGAAGTGTCTGGCTTGGAGAACTTCTCAGTGTGCTTGCCTGTAGCAAGTGTAAAGGAGGCTGGGCTGGGGACTCAGCTGTCTCAGCACCTCTCTGGGGAGAGGGCATGGTGGCAGAAGGGCTTCTGTAGACAGGACAGTGTCCTGCATTACACTGTGTGTGTGTGTGAGCGTGCAAACCGTGCTTCCCTGACAGCGGTTCAGAGTCACATCTCAGCCTGTGCCTTCAGCTCTGGGCTCCGGACCCCGTGGACCGGTGTTTCTTATGCAGAGAATGGACGCATAGGAAGTTCTCAGAGTTCTGCACAGGTAAGAAGCCTCAGGTTTCCAGCTAGCAGATGTTTTGCTGGAGTGATCACCAAGGTGATGATGGGCATTTTGGTCCTCAGTGTCTTCATGATTTGGTTTTATATTTGACTTTGAAAAAATAAGTGCGTGTATCTTTTTGTTTGTTTTTGTTTTGTATAGCGCAGGGCACAAAACTCAGGGTCTCACACGTGGTAGGCTAGTGCTGTGCCCCTTAGCTACATATGTTTCCCACAATAGTACCTGGCTCTGAAATTCTGTGTTTATATTCTCTGTGACAGCTGATAGTGTTAGAAAGGTGAGAATTTATTTTACTTGTTTATTTATTTATTTATTTATTGTCTTTTTGAGACAGGGTCTCAATATACAATTCAGGCTGGCCTTGAGCTCACTTTGTAGCCCAGGCTGGTCTCGAACTCCCAATGATCCTCCTGCCTCAACTTCCGGAATGCTGGGATTACAGGCTTGCATCACCATGCCCGACTGAGAATTTATTTTTGAGCTAGCAGAAATTTTCAGCCTGAACACTTGTTTTCTTTGGGAGGATGAAACCAGTAGTGTCTTAGGATTGGAGGGGTGCTGGTCTTGGTTGCCGTCCCAGGAATGACTCGTGCCTCTTTCTCTCTGCGTGCCCGCTTCAGGAAGGTGGCTCAGCAGAGCAAGTTGGAACCTGGATGGGGGTTTAGGGAACTGGAAAGGCTGCTGGAGCTGCCCTTACATTCCCTGCCCCTAAGGAGATCATATGGAGGCCCAGCCTTTCACATCCACTGTGGTGCCTCCTTGTTATTTACTACTTGGCAGGCAAAATAGACATCTGGAGCAGCCTCAGTTTTAGGTCCTTTGGAGGGTAAGATTGTCTTCTTCAGGGACCATGGAGAACTCAGAAATATAATAGGTGAGAGGGATGAGGGAGTCAGAGGGCAGAAAGGGTGCTCTGGTATGAAGAATCAGCACTGATTGCCCTCTGTCAGGCCCTGGTCACAGACTCCATTTCCAGGGTGCCTAGTCTGTTGTGGGAAAGTTGACACTGGCACCTTCCCTCCTCCCCCGCTTTGTTTTTCTTTCTTTATTTGTAACCCTTAGTAGTTTTCCTGTTTTGTTTTTCCTGATTACAGGAGTATTACATAGTTATTTTAGAGAACTAAGAAAAATTTTGATTTACAGAAAGGGAAACATACTCATTTATAATCTCACTGCCCAAAATCCCGATATTCTTATAAATATTTTTCTTGTCTTTTCATTTATTGTTTGAGGACAGGGTCTTGCTTTGTAGCCCAGGCTGCACTGAAACTCATGATCCTCCTGCCTGTCCCTCCTGAGTGCTTGGATTACAGGTGTGCACAACCATGCCTGGCTTTTTTGACATTTAAAAAATAATTTTTTTTTGGTGTATGTTTGCTCTTTTCTATATGAAAAATATCTGTGTACATATATAATCATTTGTAAGTTTTTTTAAAAAATACCTAAATTATGATCATGTTGTAGACTTGGAATATTTTTTACTTTATTGTAAATGTTTTAAGTGCTCATTGTTAGAAAGTTCAAACCTGTTAATATTCTGGTATATACACCTATGTATTATACATGCATTTTTAGGTTATGTGTATATGTCTATCACAAATCCTGTCTCAGTCACATTCTTACTTTTGGACAGAACACCTAACCCCGTAGGGGTATGTATTTATTTTGGCACACAGTTTTGGAAGATTTAGCCCATGGTTGGCTGCTCCAGGGCAGAAACTTGGGACCAGGAGATAGGAAGGGAGGCTGTTCGGGTAGTGATAAGTAGGAAGCAGAGAAGGAAGGGGCCGGGGAGGGAGACTCGTCCTTGAGACGCCCTCTTCTGGCCAGGCCCACCTCCTCACAGCACATCTAGCTGTGGGTGCATCAGTGAATTAATACATTGGTGAGCATGATGCCCCCACGTTCCAGTCACCTTCAGAAGCCCCACTTCTTTCTCTTTTTTTTTTGAGATAGGGTCTTGTTGTGTACTTGGTTCAGACTGGCCTTGAATTCACTGTGTAGCCTAGGCTCTCCTCAAACTTGCAGTGGTCCTCCTGCTTCAGCCTCCTGAGATTATAGGCGTGCACCACCACATCCAGGTTAATGGTTACATAGTACTGCTTTGTTTGCTTATGCGGTCAGCCTTGTTTCCTCCGTGGACAAACAGCTTTCTCAGTGTTTGCAGTTAAAATCCGCCCACTGTGTCCTTGGGTCCTGCATTCACAGGTTCAACCAGCTCAGAAATAAATAAATACATTAAAATTGAAGATGCTTTGAAAATTATGCATCTGTACTGAACTTAAACACTTTTCTGCTGTTATTCTTTAAACAATAACTACTTACATGGCATTTGCATTGTATTAGGGGTTACAGACCCTCCTCCTTCAGTGACCAAATTCTGAATTCCCAACTGGGTCATTAGCTAAATTGAATGCTAAATGAGGAATCATATCTCATGTGCACATTACAATATGCAGAACAAAGAATAAACAAGATGTGTAGAACCACACCCCCCCCAAATAAAAGATGGGTCATAGGTACAAGGGGCAGGTCAGAAGTTTGAGCAGTGCACCTCAGTTGGAACAGTCGTTAAACAGGTAGGTGGTTAAACAAATACCTAGAGAAGATTTAAGGTGTATTGGAGGATATGCAAAGCTATATCCAAATACTGTGCCATTTCATGGAAGAGACTGGAGCATCTGTGGATTTGAGGTGGTTTTTTGTTTTTTTGAGACAGGCTCTGCTATGCAGTCTAGGCCAATTTGAGCTGGCTACATTGCCCAGGCTGGCCTTGAACTTGCCAGCCCCTTGCCTCACCCGCTCACATGCTGGATTACAGATGTGTGCCACCATGCCCAGCTTACCTGAGGTTTTTGGTATCCAAGGTGTTGACTGTACGTGACAATACCAAGAACACCCACAAGCATGATTTTGGTGGCCTACTCACTTTAGGTGTTTCCTTAGGGTAGATTTTGAAAGGAAAACTTGTCAGTGTAAAAATGCTGTACCCAATTAAAAATTTGGTGCAATTGCTACTTACTTCCTATCTTCACCGCATCTCCCCTCCACAAAAAATTCACACAAAAAATAATTTGTACTCATTGGCGTATTTCTGTAAACTGCACACACTTGCAGGGTCTTGATAGTCACTGTAATGACCTCATTGTTCTAATGTCTAGGTGCTTTCTGTAATTTTCCACCGGATGTAAAGGCTGAGAGAAGCAATACACAGGCCACTGGTGTGGGTGGGTGCCACCGTTCTATTCTGGACTTGGGGGTTGCCATAGAAACAGACTCGAGCCTTCTCTCCCACAGATAGGAGAGTGCAGTGTGGGCTTGGGGTGTGAAGGGATTTCCTGGGCCTCCTGACTGCTTAGCTGTCCCCAGCAACACTCCTGTCCCTCCACCAGAGCAGGCCCCCACTGTGACTCCCTGCAAGGCTTGAGGTGTCACTGGATGGTGCTGCTCCTGCTGGACGGTGGTGATGCTAGCAGGTCCTTTCCATTCCGGCTTTGCTGGGGGCAGGGGTTGTTGTCAGGGTAGAGCCAGGCCTTTGGTGCCTGCTGTGTACCTTGGAGGTGTTGGGGGGAAGAAGCACCCAGCTTCTCTGTCCATGTGGCAGACCTGGGTCAGGATCAGTGCAGGAACCTGGCAGGACAGACTGATTGCTTTTGCTTCTTTGGTGAGTGCAAGTACATTGAGTTTCGCGTGTGCTCAGTAGGGAGAGATGGGGTATGGGTTCTGCCCCTCCCTTAGAAGCAGACTGCTGTGTCTGCCTGCCCTCCCCCACCAGGATTTTACCTCTCCCTGGGACCAGAGTCGCTGGCCCCTCTCCCCTCTGCCTTAGGCTTTTGCTGTGGATCTTAAGATATGAGTCTGGGCTTTGACACCTGCCCCACCCATGGGGTGGGGTCTCCAGGTCTCCTGCCTGCCTGCAGTCTTCCCTGCCATGCTGTCAGTAGAGACCTGGAAAGAGCTCCTGTAGAACAGACTAGGGGTCCTGAGCTGTCATAGGCCCATACTTGTCTTTTAAGAATTTAATAATGCAGCTACTTTCTTCCTACCCAGATTTGTGGAGCAGCCTCTATGTCTTGTGCTCAGCCAAGGGCTGGTGATCTTGTGTCCTGTTTTTCTTTTCTTTTCAGTGGGGCCTGTCAGGCTGGATGGAGTTCAGGTCATGGGTAGTGTTGGGCTGAAGCTGCCTTAGGATGGCGTAGGAGGTCAGGTGTCATCGTCCCAGCTCTGCTCAGTAACACCATAGCTTGAAACTGGCTGGGCTGGGAGGACTGCACCACGGAGAATGGCACACACTCCACCCCAACGCCCTCTTTCCTGCCGAGGAGGCGAGAGGTTTTCCAAGAGATCAGGACAAGCCATGAGATAAAGACAAGGCAAACAGCTGTGAGTAAAATGAAGCTCGCAAGGCAGCATAAAGTCATCAGTGTGAATAGCCTCGCCGTCTAGGAAGAGCCAGTACCCCGACAAGGTGTGCAGTCTTGGTGGCAGAGGCCCACAGGTAGTATCTGACCTTGCCTCAAACCGTGTGTGCATCCCTGGGCCCACACTCCGCAGCCTGTGTGCGGCCCTGTATGCAGGGTGAGAGCTGCAGTTCTGAGCCATTGGAGCCATTGCTTTCTCCCCATGTCTAATGGTCCTCAGGCAGGGGCTGTGGGTGGAGGAATTGGGGACCTCTGCCAGGGAGTCACATGGCTGCAGTGACAGGGAAAGATTAACGGGAGCGGTGTGCACCCTGTGCGTTTACTTTATGTGCTGGGTCTGATCTTGTCCCCATCACAGAGCATTCAGTTTTCCCTGATTAGAATAAGGGTGACATGAGGCTGTATGTGCCTACTTCTCTGTGACAGATACTTAATCCTGGTCCATGATCGCCCCACTCCACCTCGGCCTCCGCAGAGTGGGCTGAACAGTTGTCAGATTTCTTTGTGATCATAAGCCAGACGTTTGGAATTCAAGTATGTTGTCACAAAAGAAGCCCTTGTCTGGGCTGGGGATGCAGCTCAGTGGCACAAGCGCCTGCCTGGCAAGTGCAACGTCCTGAGTTCTGTTCCCAGTACCAAAAAAAAAAAAGCCGTTGTCTTGCGTCGTTGTCCCTGGCCAGAAGCAGCAGGACTGGGCTGGGCTCCAGGCAGCTCCTCTGAACTGCCGCTTGGGAGCTGCAGCCTCTTTGCTCTGTCCTAACAGGTACACAATCAAAGGCATCCGGAACTTGATATTCTATGAGCTGCCCACGTACCCTCACTTCTACAGCGACATCTGCAACATGCTGCGGGCCACCAGCCGGGGAGAGGAGGCCACATGGACCTGCACTGTCCTCTACACCAAGTACGACGCGCAGCGCTTGGCAGCTGTGGTGGGTGTGGAGCGGGCCGCGCAGATGCTGCAGTCCAAGAAGAATGTCCACCTATTCGTCACTGGGGAGCAGTGAGGCTGCGATCAGGGTACCATGGGCACGTGGCGGACCCATGCCTGACCCTCACGGGAGAAGGGCAACAGGCGGGACCGCGCTGGGCAGTGTCGCTGGCACTGCCTCCTTCCTTCTCAGCCTCATAGCCATGAGGTTACAGGGAACCTGAGCTCTGCTGAGTGGAGGCTCTCAGGCAGGAGGGACCTAGAAGGACTGAGAAATTCATAAATTGAAATTTCTACTTGTGAATCTTTGTAACCAGCAGTTTTTGTGTATTTCTAATTTATTACATTTGGTGGATTCTTTCAGATTTGTCTCTTTGGCCTACATGTCATTGCTTGTGAGAGCAGATTATAAGAAATGGGAATACATCTGATTGCTGTGTGTCATCTTAATTTTTTTAATTCATTAAGCCAAGAATGGTGGCACATACCTGTAATCCCAGTACTCAGGAGGCTGAGGTGGGAGGGTCCCTTGAGTTTGAGGCCAGCCAGGGCGACATTGTGAGTTCAAAGCTAACCTGGACTATATAGTGAGACCCTGACTCAAAAAAAAAGCTTATTGGTTCATTTTAGATACACATAATGATCACACTCCTCATAGGGAATTTGTACCTGTGCATGATCTATCTTGCTTTTTTTCCTCATCCCCCTCCCCCTCTCCCCTCTTCACCAGCTTATTTACAAAAGCTTTGTTTCCACCTTTTCCTTTTCTCATTTTTTTTCCCTTCCTTCCTTTCCCCTTTGCCCCTGCTTAGTTCCCCTTCCCATTTGAACATTTTCTTATTTCACACTATCTGTTGTACATTTTGATCATTATTTACACTTTTGATTTCTCACAACAGAGAAACAATGAAGTATTTACATATGTGTATCTGATTTATTTCACTTAAGAGTATGGTCTCAAGGTGCATCTATTTAGCTAGAAATATCTCCAGCTTACCTTCTTTGTGGCAGAGTGGTACTCCATTGTATTAGAAAAACCCACACGTGTACCCATTCATTGATTGATGGGTATTTGGGCTGTTTCAAGATGAGTTATTAAAACTGCTGCTACAAACATGGGTGTGCCTATATCACTGTGGTATGATGCTTTTCCTCCTTTCAGGAAAATACGAAGAAGGGGAATAGTCAGATTAAATGGAATCTCTAGTTGTAGATTTTTGAGGAATCTCCACACTAATTTCCACAATGGTTGCACCAGTCTGCACTCCCACCAACAGTGGAGAAGGGCTCCTTTTTCCCCACTGCCCTACCAGCATTTGTCACTGATTTCTTGATAACTGCCATTCTTTCTGGGGTGAGGTAGAATCTCAGCATTGTTTTAATTTGCACCTCTCAAATGACCAGTAATGTTGAACATTTTTTCCACATATTTACTTTCCATTTCTACTTCTTCATGTGAGAAGTTTCTGTTCATTTTAGACGGCCATTTTAGGATTGGGTCTTTAAGTTTAGGGGGTCTGATTTTTTTGAGTTCTTTATATATTCTAGATGTCAGTCCTTTGGGGAATAGGCAGCAAAAAGTTTTCCCATTCTAGGATGTCTCTTCACTCTGTTGGTGGTTTCTCTTGCTCTGCAAAAGCTTTTTAATAAGACAGGATCCTACTTGTTGATTCTTTGTGATACTTCCTGTGTGATTGGGGTTTTATTCATAAAGTCCTTGCCTATACCAATGTCTTCAGGAGTTAGATTCCAGCAGATTTAGTGTTTCTGTTTTAATATTTAGATCTTTGATCTGTTTCGATTTCAGTTTAGTGCATGGTGAAAAATATGGGTCTAGTTTTTCTTTGGCATGTGGAAAGCCAGTTTTTCCAGCACTATTTATTAAACAGGCTGTCTTTCTCCCAGGGAATATTTCTGGCTCTTTTGTCAAAGATAAGGTGGCTGAGTGTGCTTGTGTTATGTCTGCATCTTCTAATCAGTTCCAGTGATCCTTGGATCTGGTTTTTTTTTTGCCAGTCCCATGCTATGTTTATCACAGTAGCTTTGTAATATTAAGGCTGGGATTGTGATGCTCCCTGCCTTGTTTTTGTTGCCCAGAAGTGCCTTTGCTGTTCCAGGTCTCTTCTGGTTCCAAATGAATTTTAGGAATATTTTCTTTAACTCTGTGAGCTATGCTATTGGAATTTTGATCAGAATTGCATTAAATCTATGTAACAATTTTGGAAGTATGGCCATTTTCACGCTATTGGTTCTTCCTAACCGAAACAAGGGATAACTTTCCATTTTCTGGTATTAGTTTCAGTCTCCTTTTTCAGAATACTGTATTTTTTCAACATAAAGTTCTTCTACTTCCTTTGTAAGATTGTTTCCTAGGTATTTCACTATTTTGGATGCTTTTATGGGAGGTGTTTCTCTAATTTCTTAGTGAGTTTGTTATATTTGTATACAGGAATGCTACTGATTTTTGAGTGTTGACTTTGTATCCGGCTATGCTGCTGAATTTAGTTATTAAATCTAGAAGTCTTTTGGTGTTTTGGGGGCCTTCTATGTAGATTATTATGTCATCTGCAAATAATGATAATTTAATTTCTTCCTTTCCTATCCTTACTCTTTTTATTTCTTTCTCTTGTCTAATTGCTCTGGCTAATGTTTCCAGAACTGTATTGAATTAGAGTGGTTAACAGTGGACAGCCTGTTTTGTTCCTGATTTTAGAGAGAAGGTTTTCAGTTTCTGTCCATGTAGTGTGATATTGGCTGTTGGTTTGTCATAGATGGCTTTTATCAGATTGAGATAAAGACCATCTATTTCAGTTTTTTTTCCTGTTCCAGTTTTTAAATCATGAATGGGTGTTGGACTTTGTCAAAAGCTTTTTCTGCATCTCTTGAGATGAGTGTATGGTTGTTGTCCTTGTTTCTTAATATGGTGTATTATGGTATTAATATGGTGTATTACATTTATGAATTTGCATATACATATTACATTTATGAACTTGCATCACTGGTATGTCATCTTAATTTTGGGTGGCACATTTTTTTGTAATGCTGAATTATCTTCATCCAGACTTAAAAAAATATTATAACAACCAAGTGTGGTGATGCATGATGTAATCCCAGCACTGGGTAGGCTGAGGCAGAAGGATTGCCACAAATTCGAGGCCAGCCTACACTGCATAGTTCAAGACCAACCTGGACCACACAGCAAGCCTGTTTCAAAAAAACTAAAAAAAAAAAAAAAAAAAAAAAAAGATCTGGCCATGGTTGCACATACCTGTAGTCCCAGCACTGAGGAGGCTGAAGCATGAAGATTGCTGCATGTTTGAGGCCAGCCTGGGCTACATAGTGAGTTCAGAACTAATCTGATCTACATAGTGAGTCCCTGTCTCAGAAAAAAGAAAAACCAAAACCAAAACAATCTTGTAAATACTCAATTTAACTTAATCTAGAAAAGTCTATTTATTCAGTAATTTTTAAAAATTCAAAATGGTGTTTTGAGTTAAAATATACATTTAAAATTATAACTAATTTCTGTTCTATTTGAAGAAGAAAATCAGTGGAATTTAGTGTTGAAATGTCCATCTTCAGCCCTGTTGTCTTTCATTATTCCTATAGTCATTTTTTTGAGTATAAAAATGGAAAGGAGGGGCTGGGGATTTAGCTCAGCGGCAAAGCGCCTGCCTGGCAAGCGCAAGGTCGAGAGTTTGGTTCCCGGTACCGGAGAAAAACCAAAAAAAAAAAAAATGGAAAGGAAATTAATTGCAATTAAATTTTTTTGTGTTGAAATACTCTCAATTATGAAAATTAGGGGTACACTTGAGCCATTTGAGAGTAAAATTCCAGTCCAGTGGACCTGTCAGCTCTGAATTCTTCAGTGTGCATTCCTGTGAGCAGGTCATGGTTCTGCGTAAGCACAGCCAGCCAGGAGTTACAGAGGGAAATTGCCATTGATGCCTCACTGCCACCTGGTCCTGGGACCCCACGCAGGTTTTGCCAAGTGTGGGCCGCAAACAAATGCAGTTCAGAGTCGCCTGCTGCCTTTAGTGTGGTGTCCAGATTGGTGTCTTTATCTGTGTCTTGGTTACTTGTTGCTGAGACAAAACACCTGAAGTTAAAGCGGGGGCAGGTCTATGTGGCTCACAGTTTGCAGAGGCATCAGTTCATGGTCAGTGGGCTCCAAGGTGGCGTGGTAGAGCATGGCAGAAGGGCACTGCAGAGAAGCAGTCATGGGCAGAAGGGAGTAACCAGTGAAGTAGCCAAGCATCAAGAGACCAATTTCTGTCTCTTACATTCTACCCAGGCTGTACCCCGTTAGGGCCGGCAGCTCACACCCAGGGAGGCCTTCCCAGCACCCACGCCCAGAGCCGTGCCAAACCAGTCCATGGGCTAATTTAGTAATCACATGCCCTTGGTCCAGCATCATGCACTCGACCCAGCTACCCTTGAAAGCCCCCTATGACAGCATAAGGCTTTGGGGGGCGTCTAGACACAAGTCATAATCTGGAACAGTGTGCCATTTCTCATTGGCTTTCCTGACCTTGGAATCTTTGGAGATTATAGACCAGTTATTTTGTAGGATGATTTTTTTTTTTTGCAGAAACATGACAGAAGTGATAATGTCCTCAGTGCATGCCATTGGGTGGTATGATTTTGATTTGTCCCATCCCTGTCTGTACCTTGGTCCTTGTCTCAGTTGTGTTGGGCAGACTTGCCCCCACAAAGGAACTGTGTTCACGGGTACGGATGTGGACGGTGGTTCCTTCTCTCATTGAGCAGGTTGCAGTCTGTTTCTTGTTGTCTCTTCAGCTGCTAACCCAGCTTCAGATGCAGCTAGGCAGCGCACCTGCGAACCAGGTTCTTCATCCTGTTGACACGCGCTCCTTCTACTTAGGCACTGCGGTCATTTCTGGTGAGATCCCAGGATTCTGTGCCCCCGTCAAGTTGTTTGGAAAGCTAAGCTCTGAGCACCTGTGCTAGTCCCGGGCCACCTCAGCAGTTAGAGCTGGGAGTGATGTCACGCACACATATGTGCATACCTCGGCGTCCAAGTGTGCCTCTATCCACACACTGGAGCTCAGGAATGCACAGCAGGGCTTCAGTTCCAGTCTGGCCACTGGTCTCCTTGTTTCCCTCCTTTCTATCGTTGCAGCTCCTCCCAGTTGCAGCCCAGACAGTGGCTTTGGTTACCCTTAGTGTAATGACTCATAATTGGTACAGATTTTCTTATTCTTGGACATATTTAAACTTGCTTATCAAAAAAAGTGATACTGGGGGTAGTTTTCCAGCTCAAACCTTTACACAGTAAGTTTTACTACTTATCATGGCAAGTAAAACCATTTATTCTATATATAGATTCCTAAATTTCCAAAACATGAGGTGCTGCGTACAAGTCAACGAAACCAGTGCTAGGCAAACTGTACGCATGTGCCCTGTGGTT